CTTTCGCATGCCCAGACCAGTCCTAAGGCCTCCTTCTCGGTTTGTGAATATTTCCGCTCAATGTCTGTCAAACTACGGCTCGCGTAACAAATTACACGTGTGTGATTGTCCTGCTCCTGTACTAGCACTCCTCCTAATCCCACAGGTGACGCGTCAGCGATAACCTGCGTCTTGGCTTTTGGGTCAAAATATCCCAAAACACATGCATTTGACAACATCGCCTTAAGTTTCTTAAAAGACTGTTCCTGAGTTGGACCCCAATTAAATGGTGCATCCTTTCGGGTTAACTGTCGTAAGGGTTCAGATACAGTTGCCAGGTTGGGTAAGAATCTGGAGCTAAAATTGACTAGGCCTAGGAAACTTCTTACTTCTCCAGCATTTGAAGGTTGTCTCGCGTTCACGACCGCTTTGACTTTGTCCTCGTCGAGACTGATTCCATGCTCTGAAAGTACATGTCCCATGAATGTAATCTGTGACATATTAAATTGACATTTGTCCAAATTCAATGTCAAGCCCTTCTCACGTAAGGTTTGTAACAGTTTGTCCAAGTTTTTGTTGTGCTCACCCTGTGTTTCTCCGTGAACAACAATGTCGTCAAATATACTGTTGACACCTGGACACTCTCTCAGAACCTGTTGTATGATTTTGTTGTAGAGCTCAGGGGCACAGCTGATCCCGAACATTAGTCGTTTATACCGATACATGCCTAAGTGAGTTTGGAATGTTGTAATACCACGTGACTCTGGGGCTAGCTCAATCTGGTGATACGCCCAGCGAATATCAAGTTTTGAAAAAACCTTGCTCTGATTCAGGTCCTGTAGTATTTCATCTACAGTTGGTATCGGATACCGTTCACGAATTACAGCTTCATTGGCCCTTCGCATGTCAACACAAAGTCTAATATCCCCGTTTGACTTGGGAATAATAACAACTGGACTTACCCATGCACTGGGTTCCTCGACTTTCTCAATAATGTCTAATGACTCCAGCTCGTGTATTTTGCTCTCAAGTCGGTCACGTAAATGGTAGGGTATACGCCGCAATGGTTGAATAACTGGCGTAACTGTGTCGTCCAGTGCTATAGTCATTTGATAGTCTTTCAATTTCCCAATTCCTGTGAAACATTCAGGGTATTTCTTCATAAGTTCAGCCTTACTGATATCATGTTCAACGGAATTAATGTGCCCAGTACCCACATGTAGAACTCCTAATTCTATAGCAGTCATCTTGCCTAGTAGTGGTTGGCCTGTTCCCTCCAAAACATAAAACATCACCCTAGGTACCATCTTGTTTCCAAGTATGACATCAGCCTCAAAACATCCTGCTAAAGGCAGTGGCTTGGTACTTCCATAAGCAAACAATTTCTTGTCAGTATTGTTACTTACACAGTTTATCTTTGACTTTTTCAGACTTTCCCAGAGTTCTCGGTCTATCATATTAACACCTGCCCCTGAATCAACAGTAAATGATATCGGCACACCTCCAACTATCACACTAACCTGTTCTCCAACTGGTTCTTTAACAACACTAAAAACGTAGTCAGTTAACTCAACCGAATCCTGATCTTGTACATATTTCACCGTACGTTCCTGTGATCGGCCATTCCCTGGATTACCTCCCTTTGTCTTACAACACTTCTGGAAATGTCCCATTTTATGACATTTATTGCATTTCTTATTCCTGGCTGGACATTCCTTATCTTTTGAATAGTGTCCCTGTCTCCCACACCGGAAGCATGCTTGAGATTTGTTACCTTGACTACTTGTATTGAAACGGTCAGCCCCCTGGTAACCTGGTTTGTGTCCTTTCCTTTTCTCATAAACTGCGTGTACAGTTTCTTCCTGCATTACTGCTGCCTGTCTCTCTGCTGCTTCATGCGCTCTACCCATTTCCAGCATTTTTGTGAGGGTCAATGTTCCTCCCTTTTCCAGAAATTTCTTCCGTAGATGTGTCGACTTACACTTGTCGATAACCTGATCACGGATCTGGTCGTCTTTACCATCTCCGAATTCACATGTCATGGCTTTATCGCGTAACCTCGTTATAAATTGTTCAACTGACTCACTAGACTCCTGTTTGAGTTGCCGAAACTGGTGTCTCTCGAATGAAATGTTTCCTTGTGGCGCGAAGTACTCTCCCAGCTTCTGTACAGCCTTGTCGTAATCTGTATCTTCTCCTGTGTCCGCGAGTGTGTCAAATATTTCCTGCACTCTCATCCCGGCACAATGGAGTAACAACGCCCTTTTCTGTGTAAGATCTGTTATACCCTTGCCCACAACAAACAGTTCGAATGCCCTTTTCCACTTTCTCCATCGTTGAGAAATGGCGGACGAATCTCCGTGGCAATCAAAATTTGGAATACCTCCAATTTCCATGTATGTCGCCATTTTAACCAATTAAATGTATACAGTTTTTATCCTCGTCGCCAATTGTAGCATCTAACGTGCTTCATATGTTTGGATGACTTGCCCATCCCCGGATTGAACCTGATTCGTTCTTGTACATATTAGATCCAGTCAACACATGTGTTCCATTCCACTCAACATAATTTATTAACTTCACATTGGAGAGTTCCACATATAACAGATGGCGAGTATGGACGAGTTATGTCCCTTTACCTGACTGAATATATACAATAGACAGATACCACAGTCCTCAATGTTACGAAGCTTTTCATTGGTTAATCGTAATGTTTTGTTGGAGGATAGACCATGCGCTTGCCTATGTTATTTTCCAACAGATCAACACTCTTCAAAGAATTCCCGTCGCAAATCTAAACAAGTGGGCAACTGAAATGGTTACCTTTTTTCGAATGAAAGTACTCACATTTAATTTTACATGTAATTAAAGACTGGCTTGAAGACAAATAAGCATGCTTTTTATTTAACTTCTAAATCTTCTTTAAACATGTCAGGCTCATTGTCAGAATGTTCCGTTGAACCAACCTGGAAGGTGACTTAAAAAAGTGTTCGTAAATCTGTCAAATGTTGGTCTTCCCTAATCGGTTGAAAAAAAAAAAAAAAAAAAGACAACTGCCCATGAAGTCGGACATGAAAAAAAGGAAAAAAAGTATCATCCAGGTCACCTGATATATTATGGACATAACGTAGACACGAAAAAAACTTTCATTTGTAGAACGAATAAGATCGACATATATTTGAATATTATGGTGGAATATATATCTCAGCATTATATGAAAGAAAGGTTTGGTTTAGTTTGCTAGCGCTATTTCTCAGAAGGTACAGGAAGGATCTTTCTCAAATTTCACATCAAGGTTTCCTATGGTCTCTTGTCATGTATTGTGAATTTTGGGGATGATTGGAAAACCAAAATAGCCGGTAGGCGGCCATATTGAATTTGGGAGCAAATTTTTATTAGTATTAGCGCTTTATTTTGGTCTACTGTTAAGGTTACAAGTGTGAGATTAATACCATTGAGCCTCTTGTTTTCGAATTCAGCATCTTACTAACAGCTGTGGCCAGTCAGTCTGTGTGGGCTACGTTGGTATGGTGCTGGAGTTAATATGTTGGTGTATTTTACTCTTTGCGACAGCGTGGATCAAATTACACCTTCAGAGTATCCACCTTACTGAAATTGCATGCCGAATGCGCCCTGCACAATATTCCACCTGGTTAAATTATATTGACAATATGTAAACCTGTTCTTACTGCTACTTATCAAAAGATGAGCATGTAACAATTTTAAGGACTTTTGTTTTGTCTCTGTCATGGAACAGAGCCCACAGCCTTCCCCGGTTTGGTCAACGCTTTAACCTCAAGTGGAACACTGAGGCAAAGTCAAATATGCGCTTGGAAATGAAAACAAAACGGAAACAAAACAGAGGAACTTAACGATCCCAAATGATCCAGATGCTGAAATGGATACAGCATTTGGTAGCATTTGTGTTTCTAAGAAGAGGGACCTAAGAATTTGTTACAGATTAGCTATGTTTGGACCTAAACTAATGTGTTCAGAAAGAAATTAAAGGTTTTAGCGGTTTAATTTAACTTTTGGTTGGTTAAAACACCGTAACAATTGATGGTATAAACGAACAGGGAGGATAGCCCTCAATGAAGACAGATCAGACCAACCGAACTTTGCATGAACAATATAAGTTGATATACAAAAAGACTGCTTTCAAATATGGATTTTTTTTCTTTTATAAACCTCCTATCTCCAAGTAGAATATATTCTCTTTCTGCAGACATGATCTCCTTTTCCTCAAAAAATCGTGTTCCGCGGTCAAACTACATTTTTTGGATATGCATGCAGTTGACGACAGCCTTGCGTGACAGCCTCGAATCAAATGGATTTCCCAATACAAACCTCTTTTAAGTTACTCCCAACGACCCTTCAATTTTTCCCTGTGTATTTCGTATCATTTCCTTCTGGAAAACGGTCGAAAACTGGACAATTTCCAAATCAGTTTATTGTCTACTGCTTCATCTATGTTATGTTATTAAAAGACAAATTTACAAAGTATTGAGCTAGGAAACAAACCCCTGGTATACCCGGCAGTAGTTACCTGGATTCTGGTTTTCATGAGGATTAGGGGGCGTTTTTAAAATAAATTGCCACCAATGTTGGACTTTCTATAGAATCTTGTGGTTACGTCGGAGACTCCCCTACGTGCCATTTTTTGACGCTGTCTCCCCAGACAACCGTCTTCATGTGATCTTATCATAGCGAGAACGTTCAACACTGGTGCTAGTTTCACTGACTCTGCTTTAGATTAGTTAAATAGCATATTTAAAATAAAAATGAATGTCAACTAGAATATGGAACAAACTGACACACATCTGGTTGTCAATTTTTCTAGACTGTCATTATTTTGAAAATATGACTTTGGTGTTTAAGTTTCGTATAGTTTTTCATTCTCAATTCATATAGTCTCAAGGAAAGTAGTTCAAGATATCAAAATATGTTTTCCTCTAAATATCTACATTAAAGAGGCACAAGACAATTCGACCATCTTTTGATTTGCATAGCTGCGCATGACCTCAAAAGAACATTGTTACCTTTACGTCGCCTGAAGAGTTCGATAAGGACGTCCAGGTGAGTCCGTCCATACTGATATTGACATTGTACAACGTCACCCACTGACTAGTGTCTCCCCGTCCCTTAGTCTGTATTGCCTTCAGCAATGAGACGGATCGAAACTCCACCTGTGTATGGGAAAAACAGGTAACCATTCTTAGTACATTAAAATGCATTTATGATGATACACCATGAACTTAAAAAGTCGTAGCCTTGTAGTTGTAATTGATTCTGTTGCGGTTACCATTAAATACTAGTTTAAATAGAAATTAGTTGTTTTAAGCATATGTTCTTTATTTGTTATGGTAAACGGGGATTTAAATACATTTTCCTTTTTTAAAATTTGTTTCACATTGAACATGAATTTCATTAGACTTAAATCGATGACGAAATAACTTTATGATGCATTGTCAATATTTACATGATATGGCTTTCTAATTCCACTTATTAGTTTTTCGAAGACGTGTTTTCCTACTGCATCCGTATTTTAGTAGTGATTGTAATGGATCTATATACTCTAGAATGTAATTATTATGTTACGTATTGTGTTACTAAAAGAAATAGTGAAACCAAGAGGGAAGTTACAAGTACATTATGCCTTATGCGATAGTAAATATTGTTAAATATGTATAAAAAGAAATTTTCTTGAATACAATATTTTGCTCTGTATGTTTAAAAACTTTCGATTTTTTTACTAGAATATTATTAAAACCAAGAGGAGAGTTACATGTCAATAATGTCTCATATTATCTGTAAAAGTGTTCATCATCACTTGAAAAATTGCCCAGTATTACCTGTAAATAGTGTTTCATCATAATCTATTCATGTCCAGCATTACCTGTAAATAATGTCCAACTCCAGTATGAAGGGGACACCAGCTGTTGGAACTGCTGAATCTGGCTTTTACTAAAGAGCAGTGACTGTGGGTAGATGACGCTGTGATTGCCTCGTCGGACACACCGTAGGGTCCGGTCACCAGGTCGTATTCACAAGGACCACATCCTGCTGAAAGGATTAAATTTCTTCCATGTGTAACTTTCTTTAAAGGATCCCCATACCACTGCCAAAATATTGAATATAACTCGGAAACCGTTCGACACGTTTTCAGGTCTGATCATTCTTTTCCACAAAGAACACAATATTTTGCAGGACTTTTGATCGCAAAATGACAAAGACGAAAATAATTAAAATTAACGACACTCTTCTGAGTGAAAACAAATAACGGAACTAGACTAGGAATCGACCCTGTAACTCGATTTTATATGAGCTACCTTGTCATTGAAGACGCCCTGATCAAGGCGCTTCATTTACTTCCAAACCAAAATAAAATATAGGTTACTGTTTACACGAAACACCAGGGTAAAATCTCCTATGTTTCCCGGAGTTGTGTTAACTAAATATACGTTTTGATTGTTTAAATATTGTGGGTCAACTAAGAAAGTGGACAATGTGTGGAACATTCTCTTAAATAAAAGTGGACAGTTTTCTACACAGATATACGACTACTGACCCTCTGGACACAGTTGAACGGCCATGTTTTCACTAGACACCCGCGTGTACAAACCAGTTCTCTAGACAAATAAATACCTAGTAAATGTATTACACATCGGTTCACTCAACAAATGTATTACACATCGGTTCACTCAACAAATGTGTTACACATCGGTTCACTCAACAAATGTATTACTCATCGGTTCACTCAACAAATGTATTACACATCGGTTCACTCAACAAATGTATTACACATCGGTTCACTAAACAAATGTATTACACATCGGTTCACTGAACAAATGTATTACACATCGGTTCACTCAACGAATGTGTTACACATCGGTTCACTCAACAAATGTATAACACATCGGTTCACTCAACAAATGTATAACACATCGGTTCACTCAACAAATGTATAACACATCGGTTCACTCAACAAATGTATTACACATCGGTTCACTCAGCAAATGTATTACACATCGGTTCACTCAACAAATGAATGGCAGAAAGTTGTAGGATAAAAAGCTCACGTGGCAGGTGGATGCCACTCATTTTCAGGTACGACGCTATTTTTTGTAGGAATATATATATAACGGAGGTCATTATTTGTTCATCCTTCACCAGTAATCGAATCCTGGACCTCTTGATTGCTAGTCTTACGCTCTACCGAATGCGCGTGACAAAATTTTACACTCTAGCCCAGTAGGCAGGAGGCTGCTAATAATTTACCAGGGTGAAATATATACATAAATGATATTATACTTCTGTTACACAATATCTACTAATAAAAGTAATGCAATGAACAGGAATACCACAAACTGATTGGGATCCGCTCAAATATCTGAGAAAAGTTCCCAACATACAAATAGTACCTACATTATATGACGTTTGAGTGGTAGGTTAACTTTATATATCTTAACTTTTACGTTCACAAGCTGTCTCAAGTATCTTTACACATTTTTAAGTCCCAGAGAAAATAATTAAATCGAACTTCTAGGTCAACCATAACCGCATATACATAATTATGAGACGATCGCTGTGCTGTTATAGATGAATGTCATGAAGTGGATCATCAACGAGGTAAAAGTCGAAAATATATTCTACAAAAGTAACCAATGTATCCAACTGATGAACATGTTAAAAACATTAAATTCAAGTATGTATCTTAACAACTTACCAAAGGACAAAGTCGCCATGGAAAGAAGAACAAAAATCTGCAGCACGGCCTCCATCTTATGAATCCTAAACCAATGTACTGTAGCCTTCCATATAGCAGTCGGTGGTGGAGACCAGCTATGGCAAAATGATTTTATGACGTCAGTGTCAATTAGGAGTGTTTGTCTTGAGCAACCAACTATAGGTTAATAACGTTTACCGTGGAAATTGCATGATAATAGCAAAATTATCAATGTTTATCTAAACTTTATGATAAATGGGCAATTATATCAGTCCTAATGGCATTTGTTTGGAAATTGTAGATGTTTGTTACCTGTGATTTTCTCCCCTTCCCTTCCTTCTAATTGTTAGGGTATGATGTATAACTATAGATAAAATCCATACGCAGATATCAATATTCTGTAAACTATCTTACGCCATCGTAATATCATATCCTGACACTACACAATAGATATTTGTAGTGTGATATACTCTCACTTCAAAATCATCTTCAGGAACAAATGCACTAAATGTGTACTGTCGCCTATGGAAAATTAGACTAAAATAGTTTTCAAGTGAAATATTGTATTTCATTTGATACTCAACAATACTGAAACGTTACTTGTTTTCCCTTTGAATATAACACTATGCATTGTTTAAGATCGTGGTATACCCCATATATTACTAAGCAGTAGGATAGTAACCGGTCATACCTGATTGCTTTTACGGGTCTATGATTGTTGGTTGGGTACTTAATAGAAGAATTCCAATATGCCATAGCACACTATGTGCAGAGTTTGGCTGTCTTAGAAAAAAAATCCTGGCTTCATGACACTAATGCTAAAAGATGTAAATTGCGATTACCACTGCAGATGTTACTTCTACAAAACTTGGTCGCGGACGCAACAGTCTGCAAAACGTTTTCTTCGATTTAGTTGTTCTTTATTTAACTCTAATCACGTTGGCTTACACAACGACTCATCACAGAAAAGAAAGTGATTCTATTGCCGTAACAACTATTTGCAATGTGCCAAGTTAGGTTTATATTTTGATGCCTTGGGAAGTTGTTTGTTGCCTTCGCACGTGTAAATCAATCGACTTGAAACGGATGTGTATGGTTAGGCCACTTAAACAGTAACCAAATAATTATTCTTTCAATGACAATGGCTTACAGAAACCCTTTTTGTCGACGGACGTGGCCTCATGTGACAGTCCTCATGAGAGGTATTGACATGTAATCTGCCCGATCTGGGATGGTCATCAGTTGTCGACCCAGTGTGGTTAAACTGGTGCAATTGATTATGAGTCGACCAACAGAGTAACCCAAACATTGCGCAACTTTTATTTGACGAAATGGAACATTCTAATAGCTTCTCCTCTGTCCTCTTCCTATCATGGAAATGAAACCCGATGTAGCAAATGTCAAGTATGAAATATTTAAACAACAGGAAATCTTTCCAATCAATATTTCTCGCCCAGTTGAACTACCAACAACTAAAGCGTCATTTTACAATGTCTTATTTTACTTTATTCTATTTCATTGTTCTTTTAATAAGGAGACATATCAACGTTTCTTTATATACTGAGTATGTATTTACATTATATTCTATAAATCGGTATTCTCCGCCCTTGATTTACAGTACAAGGTTGGTACTGAAAGCCAGACAGATCCTTTGGGTGAAAAGATGATGATAGTAATAATGATATTAGCCATTTATAAAGCGCTTTATCCTGCTGAACCTAGCAGCTGTAGAGCTGTTTATAATATACAAAAAAAAAATGTATAGAACAAAAATAATACAGTTATACAATTAAAGGGACATCACGGTGAAGTGTATATTTTTTTTGTTTTTTTTTCAAATACTACATAAACATATTAAGTGAGTCTCCTTGTGGAAAATAACGATCGGATTTGGCCGATATATATTCATAAAAATAATATTAAGATAATCATCGGGATTTCTACCTGCTGATTAACGTTTTGTTCAGAAATTTCCCTCTACTAGCGCATGCGCATAGCACACCATTTCTTTACAAACAAAATTACTGGCCTTGGGAAGTAAGCGAAAGAAAGTCGTTGTACCGCGTCAGCTACGAAGCGAAAAGTTGCCAAACTGTCAAAAGATAGTGCAAGGATTACGTTACGGAATCATTTTTGCAGATGGGAAGTATCCAAAGTAGAAAATAACTGCCCTAGCAGTTAGAACAGTGCATGTATTCTTCCGGATAACCTGTTAAAAGCTGAAAAAGAATCGACAGAAATGCTGTTTATGTTGTGAATAAATACCTAAAACTATTAACCTCGCTCGTATCTTTGTCTAAGTTTGAACACAGATGAACTTATTTTGTTATGTTAATGGGCATGTATCCGAGATAATTTACTTTGTGTTTCTATATACAGTAGTTTAGGCGAAAGGAAGGGATAAGTGACTGGTTAGTTTGATTTTGCTATGAGGCCCTCCAAGCGATAACTTGTGATGGCCACGGCGTATTCTGTTCTATCTCTCCTCTGTCGGTACTCGGGGTCAAATGAAATACGTGCGCTATTAGATTTACATGATTTATGATATTCCCGGGTTCAGTAAAATGATATGATTTTATTATATTGCTGAAGTAAACGATTTCATTTTTATTTACATGCAAGATTTAAATATCAAAATGACAGTTCAGGATGAATAACTGAGGAAGGAAAACCTACTAAGGATGCATAACAAAATTTTGTTTTAAATCGTAATGTTTCAATAGTTCATGATTTGATCAAGCAACAACTTTTTATCTATGAATGATTTATTTTCGACTTCGGGTAGAATCGGAATACACATTGAAAAAGGGGGAAAAGTCATTTGTTTACGTTGTAAAAATGACGCGTGCTGGCGATAACTACGGCTCCTGTTTCGGACAAAAAGAACTGATTAAAGAACAGTTGTCTCAACATAAAAGGTATATTTACAAGTATGCTTTAATCTATGTAAAGTATTGAAAAGATTTAAAAGTGTATCAAGTATCTCAACACGTTCCATATCTGACACATATTCTACATGTACACGTAGTGGTTTTGCCAGAAATGTCTAGTGTGTGTGATGGCTAATATGGCAAACTAAGTGTTAGCGTATGTGAAGAGAGTGAAAGTGGGAAAGATAGTATACATGAATATATATAATGCATGGCTTATACAACAAGTTGCCAAAGACATTGAGTTGTACAATGTAATAAAAAATCACAATCGTTTCTCTTTCTTTACTTATCAATGCATATATACACTTTGTGAAAACATTTGAAAAGGGATATTCGTCTTTTTACAGAAAGGTTTATCCCATTGTTGAGGGAAGGTGCTTAGCCCCGTACACATTTGTAACGGTCACGTTCCGGTATTAGATATTTCCTGGTGTCTATAAATAATGCCGAGATGCCAACAAATATTTCTTCATTTAAATTCTGAATATTGGCATGTGTGCAATTAACTTTTAATAATTACTGATTCAATAAGTTTCAACACAGACTTAGAAATCATATTCCTCGGTTTCATAGTGTAGTAAGTGTTGCAGTTGCCAGACTTTTCCTGAAAGCTTCAAGAAACTTTGAGAGTCTCAAATTCACCGGAAGCTGTTCCACACTTAAGCGGCTAATTTGTCAAAGTGTGCCCCGCCGTAGTTAAAGGTGCCCGTCCGTGGAACATTAAGTAATGTCCCTGTTTCCGAACGTAAAAATCGAAATGGGCTGTAAGTGTTCATCAATTCGTGAAGGTAACACTGGGCCAGACCATTGAGGCTGATTACATAGGGTTCTATCAACAGCTAAGATGATTTAAGGACGTGCCTCCATGTGTGTTGTGTATGCGTGCACGTGTGTGTGTGTGCTGGAGGCAGGGTGTGTTGGTGTAATTGGCACCTTGTGATAGCGTGGATCTAACTCCGACTTTATAGTGCTATCTCACCAACCTGCAGGTGTGAGACGATTAAGGGATTTGTAAGTGTATATGAGAATTTATATTGAATACGATATCCAATAGTACAGTAGGTAACGCTATACAAAGTCAATACAAGTTAAGATGGATTCGCGTGGACGTACAAATTGTACTCCATTAGCGAGTCGCAAACATGCATGTGTTTTGATTGATTTTATACCTGTATGCTATTCAGTTAATTTGAATTATTTATTTTTGATTTCCATTTTCCTAGTTTGAGTTATCACTTTTAAATCGCTCTAAATAGGAATTTATATTGTAAAACATTCCAATATTTAATGTTCCACCTACATGTTTTCAATATATTGACCATTTAGAAAGTTGAAAACCACATGTAATCAAGAAAAGTTACTTACATACAATGTTGCGCTTATTGATTTGTTGACTTTGTCGTATTGTTTTCTAAACCTACTTAGAAACTGCCATGCGGTATTGTATAAGACATGGACAGGTTCAGTAAAGCACAATAGGTGAGCTGTTTTCCCATCACGTGAGATTATGATACTGTTCATGTTGGTCCCATATAAAGGAAGGCAGGTGGGGGATCGGGAAAAGAATACACCTGCTGTTATCCACTGCATGTATCGTAGGAGGCGACTAATTCGGTACCCTCTATTTGGGAACACTTCTAACTACCTTTTATTTCCTAACGCCTTACTTTGCAACACCTCACTATTTGCCTTAATGTTGAGCGTTCGCCCAGGTTAGGAAGGCAATGGGTTCTCTCCCCAGGACGGGACATACCAAAGTCCTTAAAATGTTAGTTGTTATTCCCTGCTTAACGTTCAGCATTAAGGAGAAATGGCAACAACTGGTTCACCAGTTGTCAGTATAATAAGTCCGGGCGGAATGCTGTGCTGGGTGCCGTCGGCATGGTATTTCAGTGAGATAGCACTATAAAGTCAGCATCAGATCCGCGCTTTCAAAAGGAGGCAAGCACACCAACATATCCTGTCTCCTGCATACACACACGCAAGCACGCATACACTGCACACATGGAGGCACGTCCTTAAATGACCTTAGCTGGGGCATCACGGTGAAGTAACTATTTTTTTGGTCTTTTTTTCAAATACTACATAAACATATCAAGTGAGACTCCTTATGGAAAATAAC